GGAGACCGGATATAGTGAATGCGGGGTCCGGGGAGAGTGGATATAGTGAATGCGGGGTCCGGGGAGAGTGGATATAGTGAATGCGGGGTCCGGGGAGAGTGGATATAGTGAATGCGGGGTCCGGGGAGAGCGGATATAGTGAATGCGGGGTCCGGGGAGAGTGGATATAGTGAATGCGGGATCCGGGGAGACCAGATATAGTGAATGCGGGGTCCGGGGAGAGCGGCAATAGTGAATGCAGGGTCAGGGGAGACCGGATATAGTGAATGCGGGGTCCGGGGAGAGCGGCAATAGTGAATGCAGGGTCAGGGGGGACCGGATATAGTGAATGCGGGGTCCGGGGAGAGCGGCAATAGTGAATGCGGGGTCCGGGGAGACCGGATATAGTGAATGCAGTGTCTGGGAGAGCGGATATAGTGAATGCGGGGTCCGGGGAGACCGGATATAGTGAATGCAGTGTCTGGGGAGAGCGGATATAGTGAATGCGGGGTCCGGGGAGACCGGATATAGTGAATGCGGGGTCCGGGGAGACCGGATATAGTGAATGCAGTGTCTGGGGAGAGCGGATATAGTGAATGCAGGGGTCCGGGGAGAGCGGATATAGTGAATGCGGGGGTCCGGGGAGAGAGAGGATATAGTGAATGCAGGGTCCGGGGAGAGCGGATATAGTGAATGCGGGGTCCGGGGGAGACCGGATATAGTGAATGCGGGGTCCGGGAAGAGCGGATATAGTGAATGCGGGGTCCGGGGAGAGCGGATATAGTGAATGCAGGGTCTGAGGCATCACGGCATGTTGGATCATTTTTGCCATGGGTGTGACTGTGGACTGCCATTGCGGCTTAAAGTGTAACTCCACTTTATTGAGAAAAAAAGAAAATCCCCTCTTGATGATCTATGTATATGTATGAATGGAGGTGACTTTTTCATTGTTGATCGGCTGATGCACTTGCAGTGTTCTTATGAGGAAAACGGCAGGGTCAGCATCCCTTTAGAAGTGATTAATCATTTAGGAGCGTCTCACCAAAACTGACATTTTTGTTGCAGGGGATGCCTATTCAGGATGAGTTTTGAATACTAATTTTGAATGAAACTGACTTTTTCATTATTGATCAACTGATGCACTTTCAGGGTTCCAGTGAGCAAAGTTGCAGGGTCTGCTGCATCCCTTTAGAAAGGAATAATCCCTTTAGGAACATCTCACCAAAACTGAAATTTTTGTTGCAGGGGATGACCTATTCAGGATGAATTTAAATGGAGGTGACTTTTTCATTATTGATCGGCTGATGCACTTTCAGGGTTCCAGTGAGGAAAGTTGCAGGGTCAGCATCCCTTTCGAAGTAATTAGCACTTTGTGTTGCAGGGGACACCAATTGGGGATGACTTTGGATACTATTTCTGAATGAAACTGACTTTTTCATTATTGATCAGCTGATGCACTTTCAGGGTTCCAGTGAAGAAAGTTGCAGGGTCTGTATCCCTTTAGGAACATCTCACCAAAACCGACATTTTTGTTGCAGGGGATGCCTAGTCAGGATGAGTTTTTTTGGATAGTAATTTTGAATGGAGGTGACTTTTTCATTATTGATCAGCTGATGCACTTTCAGTGTTCTAATGAGGAAAGCGGCAGGGTCAGCATCCCTTTCAAAGTGATTAGCAATTTTTGTTTCGGGGACATCAATTGAGGATGATTTTTGGATACTAATTTTGAACGAAACTGACTTTTTCATTATTGATCAGCTGATGCACTTTCAGGGTTCCAGTGAGGAAAGTTGCAGGGTCTGCATCCCTATAGAAAAGAATAAAACCCTTTAGGAACATCTCACCAACACCAACATTTTTGTTGCAGGGGATGCCTAGTCAGGATGAGTTTTGGATACTAATTTTGAATGGAGGTGACTTTTTCATTATTGATCAGCTGATGGACTTTCAGTGTTTTAATGAGGAAAGTGGCAGAGTCAGCATCCCCTTAGAAGTGATTAATCATTTAGGAGCATCTCACCAAAACCAACATTTTTGTTGCAGGGGATGACTATTAGAAATGACTTTTGGATACTAATTTTGAATGGAAGTGACTTTTTTTCATTATTGATCAGCTGATGCACTTTCAGGGTTTTAATGAGGAACGTTGCAGGGTCTGCATCCCTTTAGAAAGGAATAAATCCCTTTAGGAACATCTCACCAAAACCGACATTTTTGTTGCAGGGGATGCTATTAGAAATGACTTCTAGATACTAATTCTGAATGGAAGTGACTTTTTTCATTATTGATCAGCTGATGCACTTTCAGGGTTCCAGGGAGGAAAGTTGCAGGGTCTGCATCCCTTTAGAAAGGAATAAACCCTTTAGGAACATCTCACCAAAACCGACATTTTTGTTGCAGGGGATGCCTATTAGAAATGACTTTTGGATACTAATTCTGAATGGGAGTGACTTATTTCATTATTGGTCAGCTGATACACTTAAGTTGCAGGGTTAGCAGCCTTTTAGAAGTGATTACCCCTTTAGGAGCATCTCACTGAAGTTTTTGTTGCAGGGGATGCCTTTTGGGGGCATAAATGCAAAATGCAACTCAGAAACGGGTCAGACGCAACCTGCGTAGGTGTGAACCTAGCCTTTAGCCGGACAGTCCTCAGGATGGTAGCGGGAGGTGGAGGAGAAGGGACAGGTCCTCTTTAGTTGTGCCGTTTCCCGGCTCAGCGGCCGTACAGGACGTCCTCACGTACAGATGTTGGATCTTCCCGAACGCCGTCTGGAGCAGAATTCCGGCGTGGAGTACAGAGGACTTCGCCTCGCCGTGTTCTGTTTTCCCAAGGAGTGTCCTGTTGTGGTTTGGAACATGCGGCTCGGCTTGGGAGGCGCCCCAAACAAGTTATTTTAAATCTCTTTTTTTTGGAAGAACGCTGAGTTTTTAATGTTTTTTATTTTTTTTTTCGTCTTCAGCACAATTTCCAGTTCACATAATAAGCAGGTGCGGGACGGACTGTACGCAGGGTCCGGAATCCACCAATCGTGTGCTTGCTGCATATAGAAGGCGGTATTAAACCCCAAAAAACAATCACTGCTTACCAATCATTAGAGGCGGCGGCTGCATTTGTTTTTTTTTTTTTCTTTCCATCTGTTTTTCACCCGGCGACCTGGCAAATAACACACCTGCTATATTAGAGCACCCCCGCTCTGGATGAAGGAGCACAAGAGGGACAGCAGCATTGTCAGCCTGGGGGGGGGAAGGGAATTGTTAGATGGACTAGCAGATTTAGATACACTAACAAACTGAAGCCAAATTCCAGCTCATAATCATTTACAGCAAACATATGTTTTTTCTTTTGGGATGAAGGTTTTGCATGCATACATAAAAGCTGATCATTGTAAGCACCCCTGCCAGTGGTAAATGGTTTGTCTCATCCCAGTAAACGGATACATTCCGCTGGGGAGTTTGTTCTTTTGAAAAACAAACTTGCTGGCCGGATCACCAGATGAAAATAGAAGAAAGAAAGCCTAAAAAAAGAAAAACGAATGCAGCCACCGATTCTAAGAATTGGTAAGCTGCAATGTAATACATTTTTTGCTTTTGGGTTTAACCTCTTCACGCCGGCCGAGCAAATGTGCGGCGCCCCGGCGTCTGGGCCTAGACTCCAAGCGGCCGCACATTTGCGTTCTATTGAAAAAGAGCATATGTGCCGAGAGCGCGCTCCCAGCAGACGTGTCCGGTATTCACGGCAAGGTCCTGATCTCCTCTTTCGATCGGGACCTTTCCTGATCATGTGACCGCCGTGACGACACGTCACGGCAGTCACATGACCCCTAAATCCCGCCCTGCCTCCCGGCTTCTGAAACTCTTAACGGCGTGAAGGGGTTAATAACGCTTTAGCCCCTTAACGCCAAGCGCCTCCCAGCCCTTCAAGGGGTTTATGATCATGTGACCGCAGTGATTGGCTGTCACATGATCGGAAAAGTTAAAATCCTTTATAATAATATACGGCAACAGGAAAGCTGCATCCTTGAGCTCCAGTCCAGTGATTTTGCCTAGGCAGGGATGATGTCATCAGTCTGCTGCAGGCAGGGAGAGGAATTTCCGCAGTCTCTCCCCCCCGTGATCAGACATTGTAACTTTGTAACAAATGACTAATCCATGGGTTCTGAACTTTTTGCCCTCCAGCTGTTGTGGAACTACAAGTCCCATCATGCCTCTGCCTTTGGAAGTCACGCCTGTAACTGTCAGCTTTGCAATGCCCTATGGGATTTGTAGTTCCACAACACCTGGAGGGCCGCAGCTTGAGCCCCCATCTGTGTCAGACATTTGTAGACACTGCCAACCAGGGGCGGACTGACTATTTGGAACTCGGGCACTGCCCGAGGGCCCGGGGTCAGTAGGGGGCCCCGTGAGATGCCCCTGGTACCTTTTTTCATAGGCTTTTTTGAGTTTGGGCAAAGACACAGGGGCCCCATGATCCCCTTTTGCCCGGGGGCCCCATGAGTTGTCAGTCCGCCCCTGCTGCCAACTAGGATTGACATGGTTGTGTCCCTTCAGTCCACGAAGTAGATGGTCACCCTGGATGATGCCTGAATAATGATGATGCCGTCCTTCTGGGAAGAAAAGCTGATAAAGGCGTTGTCAGGGGCGGTAAATAAGTGTCACATTTACACATTTGATAGCATGCAAAAAATAGATCTGACGCTCCAATCAAAGTGGGCATTTCGCCCTAATACAAGAAATGTACCTAGAAGACTCTGAAGGGTCCCGTCAGTGGGGTGCAGAGGATCCATGTTCCGGGGTGCAGAGGATCCATGTTCCGGGGTTCCTCTTTAGGGGTGGCTCCGGGGAAGCTCTGTTGTTGTTCCAGAAGTACCGCTGCCGGCGATGTCTCTGGTTTTTTGGTTGTTTGGATTTGGGAGGATAAACGATTCCGCCCTCAGAATCCCATCGCCGCGCTCCTGTGAAGTCTGATACTGTACCCGGCAGGGGGGGGGGGCGGGGAGGGGATGGGGGTGAAATCTCTATCCTGGTCTGGCTCCCTCCTGCCGCTATCACAGCTTAACCCTTCCCAGCCCTCGCCTCTATGTCACCGGACCGTACCAATAGATACATTGTTAAATCTGACCCCTGGCCTCCCCTCCAGTCTTGCACAGGTGTACCGGCTCCTCCCCTCCAGTCTTGCACAGGTGTACCGGCTCCTCCCCTTCAGTCTTGCACAGGTGTATCTGTTCCTCCCCTCCAGGCTTGCACAGGTGTACCGGCTCCTCCCCTCCTGTCTTCCACAGGTGTAACGGCTCCTCCCCTTCAGTCTTGCACAGGTGTATCGGCTCCTCCCCTTCAGTCTTGCACAGGTGTACCGGCTCCTCATCTCCAGTCTTGCACAGGCGTACTGGCTCCTCCCCTCCAATCTTGCACAAGTTTACCGGCTCCTCCCCTTCAGTCTTGCGCAGGTGTACCGGCTCCTCCCCTTCAGTCTTGCGCAGGTGTATCTGTTCCTCCCCTCCAGGCTTGCACAGGTGTACCGGCTCCTCCCCTCCTGTCTTCCACAGGTGTAACGGCTCCTCCCCTTCAGTCTTGCACAGGTGTATCGGCTCCTCCCCTTCAGTCTTGCACAGGTGTACCGGCTCCTCATCTCCAGTCTTGCACAGGCGTACTGGCTCCTCCCCTCCAATCTTGCACAAGTTTACCGGCTCCTCCCCTTCAGTCTTGCACAGGTGTACCGGCTCCTCCCCTTCAGTCTTGCGCAGGTGTACCGGCTCCTCCCCTTCAGTCTTGCACAGGCGTACCGGCTCCTCCCCTTCAGTCTTGCACAGGCGTACCGGCTCCTCCCCTTCAGTCTTGCACAGGTGTATCGGCTCCTCCCCTTCAATCTTGCACATGTGTACAGTGGTGTATTTAGGTTTTGTGCTGCCCTAGGCAACACAAAAATCCCCCCCACCCCCATTGAGAGAGCCAGGCACCAACCAACACCCCCCCCCCCCACCCAAGACTACTTGCACTACCACCACCCTCCATACACTGGACACCCCCCAGTGAGAGAAAAACACGTACCCCCACAGCTCTAGATATCCCCTAGAATGGGAGTCAGGCTCTGCTTACACCGTCAAGCAGCCCAGAGCCTCTCTTGGATCCCACCTGGTCCCCATGCTGCATGTGTCCCTTCTTTTGTCCCTTCCTCTGGGGAGCAGTGCTGCGCCCCTGAAAAATGCCACCCTAGGCAAAGGCCTTGTTTGCCTTGTGACAAATACACCCCTTGGTATATATAAGGTTTTACAACCACTTCAAATACTAGAATGCATTCCAAAAGAAAAAAAAAACCTTTACTAACCAAAGTAAGCACCTAGATAATGAAAACACAGACTACTGCTGTCTGCAGGGGCCCCCAAGGGCCACACGGTAAATACCAAAAAGGGCAGCATTTGGCCCCTGAGCTGCAGACTGGGCACCAAGGGCATAGGGCATGGTTCTCTGTCCTGCCAGGTCGGACCTCTCGGTACAGAAGGTATCGCTCCTCTGCTTATGTATGGGAACGGCTGAGCTCTGTATGGGTGAAAGTAAAGCAGGCGAGAAATTCAGCATTACAACAAAGACTTCCCTTTCACATGCAGTCGGGTGAGAAGGAGCTTTGCTGTCTACAAACATCGCTAATCCGCATAGCCAACTTCATGATCCCTGCGGTTTTCTGGTGCGCTAATCTGAGAACGGCGTGCGCGTGAATGTGTTTGTATTTCTGTGTATATTCCTTTGCACCCTAGAAGCCACTAGAAGTGTATATTATTGCAACTGATGTCTTCCCAAAATGTTAAAGTATTAAACCCAAAAGGAAACCTTTTTTTTTTTATGTCGCAGTTTACCAATTCTTAGGGTTCATGCAGGGCCGGACTGACCCACCTTTTTTTATAGGCTTTTTTGGGTGTGGTTTGAGTGTAGGCGAGGACACAGGGGCCCCATGGTCTCCTATTGCCCGGGGGCCCCATGAGTTGTCAGTCCGCCCCTGGGTTCATGTACACTGCAGCTGATAAACTGACATTTAGGAGCTTTTCTGCGCTTTTTTTCAGCAGCCCCTGAACTCACCCTAATGTTCTCCTATGTGCCCATGTACACATCGTTGTTTACAGGCAAAAATACAGTGGAAAAGGCATCTTGGCTCCTCCTAACGCGTTTCGTGCGCACGCACTTCTTCAGAGGTTGGATACCAAGACATATCATCTGATGTTCCCGCTTCTGAATTTGCAAATTCATTCATTTCTTTTATTAATAAATTTATTTATTTCAGGTACTTGTATAGCGCCGTCAATTTACTCCGCGCTTTACATATATATTGTACATTCACATCAGTCCCTCACCCTCAAGGGGCGTACAATCTAAGGTCCCTAACTCACATTCATACATACACATACTAGGGACAATTTAGACAGGAGCAGGGGGGGACTGACCATTTGGAAACTCGGGCACTGCCCGGGGTCAGTAGGGGGCCCCATGAGATGCCCTTGGTACCTTTTTCATAGGCTTTTTTGAGTTTAGGAAAGGACACGGGCCCCATGATCCCCTATTGCCTTGGGGCCCCATGATTTGTCAGTCCGCCCCTGGACAGGAGCCAATTAACTTACCAGCATGTCTTTGGAAGGAAACCGGAGTACCCGGAGGAAACCCACGCAGGCACAGGGAGAACATGCAAACTCCAGGCAGGTGGTGCCGTGGTTGGGATTCGAACCAGCGACCCGAGTACTGCGAGGTGGAAGTGCTAACCACTTAGCCACCGTGCTGCCTGTAAATTACTGGTATTACCTACTGCACTATGGGCATTCTTTATGGTCTCCTGTGCGGAGCTATTTATTTGTAGAGCCCATCCGATCCAGCCATCCATAAGTATCCAGAGAAGGGAGTCCCTTAAAGCAGGCCTCTACACCCGTCCATCCCTTAAAGGGATCTCTGGCCAGCTAGATCCTGAATTTTCCTGTGAGCTCCTGACAGCACCACCTTACCTAGAAGGAGGATTATCCTGGACCAGGATCATATCCAACTCCTAAAGGGGACCTCTACAGATTCATTTAATGTGTATATACATTACGCATCTGGTGAGTGCGTAATTTTACCACACTATTTGGAGCACCTTTACTGGATTCTACTGCTAATTGGCACCCAGATCTGCACAGACTGTCACTTTATAATTTGATTGATTTGTGGCATACAATTTTAACTTGTTTATATGTTTTCGGACATTATTTATTTATTTATGATTTTAGTGCTGCACCTATTTATTTAGTCGTTTACAGGCAGTTGAGTTTTTACAGTCGTTTTTTTTGAACGCACATAACATGCGTTCAGGAGTAGATTTTACTGGCGAGGAGATGGCTGTGACTTGGATTTGAGGGGGTGTTCTCGGATATTGATTCTTCCCGGAGTCGTCAGATTTCCTGGCAGTTTCAGAGACATATTGCAAGTGCAGAAAAGTGATTCATGGAAATTAAGATATAAAACACTGTGCTTAAGCATAAAACAAATTCTTGATTTCTTTTTGTCCTTTTATCTGCATTTCTTTACGTTGGTGACAAGGACTCTTTAACTAGTTATGAGCACTGAGCATGCTACACAGGGCTTGTGTAGTCAAGGTACATGGGCTTGTGTAGCACACCCTGTCCTTCTGCTACTCTGCCCTTGCTGGCAATTCTCAACTGTCACAATGACAGCCAGGAGTTTGCCATGTAATGATACCAGGACCGTCTGATACAATGTTTACAAATGCTATTCTGATGTGAGATAGAAAGATACAAAGTATCATTGTTTGTAAACATTGTTCAGATGTGAGATATGCACACAGCTCTCCGAAACACCTTTCCTTCTGGCAGCAGCTTCTTGGCAGAAAAAAAAAACGTTTGACGCGGTTTAAATGTGTGTAAGCGCGTCTAGGCAGCAATCATAGTGGTCACATGATCGGAATGCCCGCCTCCACTTCAATCCATTTAAAGGGCTGGGAGGTGGCAGGAAGGGGCTAACCACTTTAAAGCGCAGCTCCACTTTATGCTTTCGTCCCGCTCCCCATTAAGGATTGGCACCTTTTGGGAGCCTGGGGGGGGGTAGCGTGGTACCGCGAATCTGACAGGTGCCTAGGCAATCGGAAGTGGAAGTCACCCCCCCCCCTCCCAGATAGACTACAGGGCCATCACAAAGTGCAGTTCTCTCTCCTTCTCTTCTTCTCCCTCCCCCTCTCTCCCTTCTATCTCTCTCCTTCCCCCCCTCTCTCTATCCCCTTTTCTCTCTCTCCCCTTTTCTTCTCTTCTCTCCCTTTTCTCTCTCTCTCCCTTTTCTCTCTCTCTCCCCTTTTTCTCTCTCTCTCCTTTTTCTCTCTCTCTCCCTTTTCTCTCTCTCTCCCCTTTTCTCTCTCTCTCCCCTTTTCTCTCTCTCTCCCTTTTCTCTTCTCTCTCTCCCCTTTTCTCTCTCTCTCTCCCTTTTCTCTTCTCTCCTCTCTCTCTTTTTCATCTCTCTCCCCTTTTCTCCTCTCTCCTAGTCTTTTCTCTCTCCTTTTCTCTCTCTCTTCCTCTTTCCGCTCTACTTCCTCTCTTTATCTCTCTTTCTCCTTTCTCACTCTCTCTCTCTCTTCTTCTCTCTCTCTCTCTTCTCTCTCTCCCCCCATTCTCTCTCCCCCCCTTCTCTCGCTCTCTCTCCTTCTCTCTCGCTTCTCTCCCTTCTCTCTCGCCTCTCTCTCTTCTCTCTCGCTCTCTCTCCTTCTCTCTCGCTCTCTCTCCTTCTCTCTCGCGCTCTCTCTCCTTCTCTCGCGCTCTTCTCTGCTTCTCTCTCGCGCTCTCTCTCCTTCTCTCTCGCGCTCTCTCTCCTTCTCTCTCGCGCTCTCTCTCCTTCTCTCTCGCGGCTCTCTCTCTTCTCTCTCGCGCTCTCTCTCCTTCTCTCTCGCGGCACTCTCTCTCCTTCTCTCTCTCCCTTCTCTCTTCGCGCTCTCTCTCCTTCTCTTCTGCGCTCTCTCTCCTTCTCTCTCTCGCTCTCTCTCTCTCCTTCTCTCTCGCGCTCTCTCTCGCTCTTCTCTCCTTCTCTCTCCTTCTCTCTCGCTCTCTCTCCTTCTCTCTCGCTCTCTTCGCTCTCTTTCTCTTTTCTCTTCTCCTTCTCTCTCTCTTCTCTCTCGCTCTTCTCTCGCTCTCTCTCGCTCTCTCCTGCTCTCTCTCGCTCTCTCCTGCTCTCTCCCTCTCTCTCCTGCTCTCTCCCTCTCTCTCGCAGCGCGCTCTCTCTCTCTCTCCTCCTCTCCTCACTCTCCCCTCTCCCCTCTCTCTCCCCTCCTCTCCTCTCTCTCTCTCTCTCTCTCTTTCTTCTTCTCTCCTTCTCTATCCTTCCTCTCTCTCTCATCTCTCTCCTCTCCCCTTTCTCTCTCCTTCCCGCCTCTTCTCTCCTTCTCTCTCCTTCTCCCCCCCCGCTCTCTCTCTCTCTCTCTCTCTCTCTCTCTCTAGTCTCTCTCTCTCTCTCTCTCTGTGTGTGTAGAGTGTGTGTGTGTGTGTGTGTGACTGTGTGTGTATATATATATTTGTGTTGATTGTATTATAAATATACTATTTATATTTATATTATTATTAAATATATATATTTGAAATTATAAAGCATAAAATACTCAAAAATGTGACAGAAATGCTGAGTGCAACCCTGATTTTTTTTGCACACAGTTTTTTGGAAAATTGGAGAAGCATATCGGTTTTACAGGCGTTAAACATGGCGGCTTGGTAAAGAAGCATTAGATGCCTTAAATATACAGGTCATACACAGGGGGATCCAGGAGGTGAAGGGAATAATGTGCAAGTCACATACAATACAATGGGAGGATAAAGTGGGTGAAGGGGTTAACAGATGTGCAGGTAAGGAAGTGAGGGGTTATTATACAGGTTA